ACTGGTGCCCTAATCTTTTATTTCTTCATAATTCTTCTAATAAGTATGATTAGAAGATATACATATATACATATATCTATATATTTTATTTTGATTTTATTTTCTTTCTCCTTTTTTCTTTTCTTCTTTTGTTTGTTTGTTTATTTGTTTATTGTTTCATCTTTTACGAGTATTATATACCGTTTGTATAATTATCGGCACGTATCATTGAAAAACGTGAAGTGTGCTGTCGTTAATTAATGAATTAAAAGTAATTAGATGAATTTGATAAAAAAGGATTCTAATTTGTCTAGATTTCGTTCAATTCTCTGGGAATAGTTCGTCGTACGTAAAGGTTTTCACAATTTTATTCGAAACATTGGTAAAAAGATCAGCTAACGATGATTCCATCACTGGTTTAATTTCTTCTATTAATAATGCGCTATTAGCATTTATTATTTTGTTACTGGCTGGTCCTAAATCATAAAAATAAGAAAGCGTCGATCATTCCTTCCTAATCTTTTATCCATTATAATATAATAATAATAATTATTATATATATATATATATATATATATATATATAATCTTACCTAGAACTGGATCACCAGCAAATAAATTGTTTAGATAAAGATTAGCACCACTAATTTGAATGTTTAATTTCATTTTCTCAAAATGTAAATAAACTTTATTGTCTCTATAAATTTTCTGTGCTTTCAAGACAATGTCAGAATCATATCCAGCTGTAATACAATAAGAATAAGATTACTGTAAGAATAATCAATTGTTTAAAAATAATAAACAATTGTTTAAAAAATTATGCTATATATATATATATATATATACACACATATATTATAGAACTTACTGAAATTGCCAACGAGTTCACCCTCTCCAGTGAGCTTGAGTAAAAGTAATGTAGCATCTATTTGATATTTCCCTTGGAAATTGAGCCTTTCGAAGCTGACCTTGAAAGTGAAAATTACGTCATCGGTGTTCACTTTGAGATCACGTATTTTAAACGTCGACGGTCCGTTCACCTAATAATTTAAAAATAATATCTTTAATTTTGATCGATTTGATTCAATGAATATCAATAGATTAATTCAAATTGTGACATTGAATTATTGATTAAATTGATCGACATTTGTCAATTAAAAAAATATATCAATTAAAATAATGTATAATAGCACCTGAATATCAGTAAGATTGATATCGAGCCTAGCCCCAGTTGGTCCTCTCAATAAACGAATTTGACTTAATTTTAATGGCTCGATAGCCGGTGTATCGAGTTCAGGAATTCCTTCAGCCAATTTCTCACGAAGATTCTCGATCGAATTCATTACACATTCGTTTATATTAGGATCGTTTTTTTTACATACTTTTATATATGGAGCTATAAACATAAATATAAACGTGTAATACGCTTATAATTATATATAGAAAAAAAAAATAACAACAACAACAACAACAACAATAAAGATGGTTTCAATATGATCTATTTAAAAAAAAAAAGAAAAAATTAATTTCAAATGGAATTTTATAAAAATTTGTTAAATTTATTTTTCAAGATGTGTCTGATAAGATAACACACGTATTATGAAAAATTTACATTTATGACAATCAATGACGAAAACTGATAATTGATTGATCAGAGAAAACATTTAGATCTATTATTATTAACGACGATTGCATTTGATTATTATCATATATTCACGTAGTATAGTGAAAGTTCATCGTGCTGGTCATTATTATCCGGTGATCATTATCTGCGGTCAATTGTCCTTGATTGTTTCAGATTGAGATGATTTTCAATCCTTTATTTATACTTACGTAATGCAGAGTCGACATTCCTAAATAGAATCAATGCAAAGCTGCAAAAAAGAAAAGAAAAGAAAAAAGTTGAAGGAAAAAAAAAAAAAAAAAAGAAAAAGAAAGTAAAAATAATAATAAAAATAAAATAAATAAATAAATAAGTATATTTCATTATTTTTCAATGTTTAAACGAATAAAAAACTTTTATTGCTTTATTAATGATCCATAAATGTTAATATAAAAAAAGAAATAATGATCGCATCATTTTTGAAATATTCATTGGAACATAATAATAATAATCGTATAATATATTTTTTATTATTAATATTTAATAATTAAATGATCATATGCTATGTGTCGTCATTTTACGCTTGATTTATTTATTATTATTAAGATATGTCGATATAAATCGATAATCGATTACACAACCAAAGACCATAATCACAATGTCGTGTCACGGAGTTATTTGAGAAATAAAGGAACGACATTGAATGTATCACGTAAAACGTGATTCATAACATTAATGATTTAACAAAGAAGACTACTGTGCCTTCACATTCGTTATTTTCTATTTATTTTTTTTTTCTTTTTTCTTTTCCTTTTTTTTTTTTTTTTTTTTTTTCATTACCTTGACACGATAAAAATGAATATTGAACGAATTCACTGCAATTATTTTTTCATAGAACGACGAAAATACTTCTTTTTTTTTTTTTTTTCTTTTTTTTTTTTGTATATTCAATATAACATTAAACTTGTATCATCATTATGCGTGATAATTAATTCAACGAAGGATTTTACAGATTGTAATCTACATTGATTAGTTCTTATAAGTTCAAAGTTCGCATAATATATCAGTGTATTTCAATATTTAGAAATAATTATGATGATTTTATGCATGATGAAAAAAGAAAAAAAAAAATAGAAAAAAAAAAGAATAAGAAAGAAGAATAAATTATCGTATTAATTTGTTTTTTTATAAACTGAAATGATGGAATTTATAATTCAAGTAAAAGTCAACTGGGTAGTCGATATTTAATGGAAGCGAAGCGGTGACATAATAACTGTGTGTCGTAACGTGTGAGATTGGTTCACAAAAAAAAAAAAAAAGGAAAAGAAAAAAAAAGAAAGAAAAAAAAATAGAAATAAAAATAAATAAAATAAAATAGAAAAAAAAAGTGATATTAACATGCATATATACTTGCGTGCGTGTGTGTTTGTGTACGAATACGTAATAGTGAAGAATTTAAATGTCCCAGATAAAATACATAATCGTAATACGTATCTAATTTTTTTTTCTTTTTTTTTTTTGTGTGTATAAAAACAAAGATCGATTTTTTTGATAATATCGATAATATCAATTATATTTTCGATAATATCAATTAGGATATGTGCAAAGAGAAAAAAAAAAGTATTTTATGAAGATTAAACTAATTTTTAGATCGTTTCTAAGTAAAACTATGTAATCATATAATTAATATTTACCGTGTATGTAATTAATAATCGAACAATTAATGCGGTAATGATTCTCAGATAAAAGGGAGAAGACGCTTATTAAGATCGATAGATCTTCTTTTTCTTTTCTTTTCTTTTTTTCTTAATTCCTTCTTTTTGCATTTTCATGTTTATGTCAATTTTTTTGCAATATCAGTAGCACTATTTTATCACGTAAAGCATCGTAAAAACAAAAAGAAGAAGGAGAGACTATTAAAAGTGATACTTTTTTTTTTTTTGTTTTCCTTTTATTTCTTTTATTTTTTTTTTTTTTTACTGAACAATCTTTGATCATGCACGATCAATTTACATTAATTGTTACTATTATTATTATTATTATTATTACTATTATTATTATTATTATTATTACTATTATTATTATTATTATTATTATTATTATTATTATTATTATTATTATTATTATTATTATTATATGGAACAAAATCAAAGGGATGATCGTGAAAAGTGTATAACTATTTACGAGCACTAAGTATCAAGGAATAATGATAACGAAAAAAAAAAAAAGAAAAAAAAAGCGAAACGATCCTTGTAAATCGATAAAAAACAAAAAAAAAAAAAGAAGAAAGCAAAGAACGATCTATAGATCCATAGAAAAAAAAAAAAAAAGAAAAAAGGGAAAGAAAAAGAAGTAGAGGAAAAAAAGGAAAATTCCAAAATGAATGATGGTACAAATAAACGTACCAGATTTCGATGAATACGTGGATGGAAACCATAGCGAGAGAATTGATCCAAATGGGGAGAACGACGTAAAGATCCAAAACCAAAATAACCAATTTTACAATGTGATCACAAAATAGTCGATTCTAAATTTAATACTATCGACGCGTACGCAAACGTTACAGTGATGATAATGATGATGCCTATGTCCTATCGTTGTACTATACGCTATAGTATACGCTAAAATTCAAGACGTAGCTTCTGAGATTCTTGCTACTATTACATTCGGTTACAGTTGATTACCTCGTGCCACTTGACGGCTATTGGTTCATACCAACGATATCTTGCCTAACGGGATCGGAGAACGTATGCTTGTGAATTGGTTAAAAGAATCAACTTTTCATCGATCCACATAACCCCCTACCTTTTCCTACTTGAACTCAGTTAACTATCCTTTTTCAATATTTTTCTAAGAAAAATCATTTCTTTCTTTTTCTTTTTTTTTTTTTTTTTTTTTTTTTTTTTTTTTTTTTTTTTTTTTTTTTTTTTTTTTTTTTTTTTTTTCTTTTTTTTTTTTTAATTTATATATATATATATATAATCTTTTCTATATGATCGTTTGTCTTCTTTTCAACTGCGTTCGTAACAAAATTATTTTTATTTTTTTCTATAGTCGTTTTTCTTTTTTCTTTTTTCCTTTTATATACATGTATATATAAGATATATAATTTATATATTATATAATATTTTTTAATATCGTTTAATGTCAGATTTTTATTGTGATTTAATTATTCTTATTATTATGTCGTTAAAAATATTATACAATATGTAAATTATATAATATATATATATATTATATAATTAATATTATATATTTTTTGGGATCGTTTAATATTAGCTTTTGATCAGATTTGCGATTTAATTATCATTATTATTATATCAATTCTTATCAATTGTATCATCTTTTTCAATTTTGTTCATAAGAAAATTATTTTACACTTCTTTCCTTGTCATAATCTTTTTTTCTTTTTATTTTAGAAATCATTTTCTTAGAATCCGTTTAATGTCAGATCTTTCTTTTTTACGTTCTTATTTCTTCCTCCTTTTATTTGTTCTATATTATTTTTTCATCGAGTTTCTCTCTCTCTCTCTCTCTTTTTTCTGATATCATTTTTTTTAAAAGGATCATTTAATGTCAGATTTTGATTAAGATCTGTGGATTAATGGATCTTTTTCCTTTGTAAATGAAAAATATCGGTTTTTTTTTTCTTTTTTTTTTTTTTTTTTTTAATAATTTTTTTATCATTCGAAGCCGAGAAAAGAAGTGAAGCAAAAAGAAAAAAGAAAAAAGGAAAAAAAAAGAAAAGAAAAAGAAATAGAGAAATGTTTTTGATTTCTTTTCCTTTTCTTTTTTCTTCTCTTTTTTCAAACCAAAGTAAAATTTGTCTCTTTCCTTTTGTTCCCATCAATTATCTATCCACTCTTTTACTAACGTCCATTTAATTGTCAGATATTATTTAATTTATTAATTCCATCGATTGATAATACTTCGTCCCTTTAAAAAGTGAAAATGTAAAAATATAATCACTTAGAAATGTAGTTCGTAATTTAATTGAAACGAGAGAGGAAACAAAGTAAAAGGATAGAAAAACGGTTTCACCTCATCGACTTTCTATTTCTCGCGAAGTACGAATGCCATTTCTGTCTTTAGGAATTGCGAATAGTTCAAGCATTCTTTTCTCTCTCTCTCTCTCTCTCTCTCTCTGTATCTCTCTCTTTCTTTTTCTCTCTGTATCTCTATCTATCTATCTGTTTATCTTTTTCTCTTTTGATCTTTTACTATTTTCGTACAATGAATATCTATATCTTTTTCATTTAGAAATAAAAATAGATTTTGTTGATCTTTTAGTGGGAGGAGCGGGGGGGAGGGGGGGGGGGGAGAGGGGGGAATGAATGTATAAGATTCATAACGTAATATAGAACAAAGTCAATCACGTATCTGTTAATTACAATCAGATTATTTAAATCTCGTCATCGTAATAACAATATTAATATTATTTCTCATCATTATTATTAAACGATACTATTGTATTTCGTGAATATTAATATATACATATATACATGTATATCTTGAAAACTCTAAATCGATTATAATTGTTTGTACAAAATGAAATAAACTTGTTTCTATTTCTTGGAAATAATAAAGTCTCTTATTACGTAGGAGACAAACAATTAACGAAGAAAAACTTCCATAGAAATTTTCAAGATCTTTGACTGTCAACAAATGCACAGAGACGAAGATTGATTTAATGTTTATTTTTATATGGACAACAGACGAGAAGGAAAAATATTAACGATTAGTTAGATATTAAAATGAATTTTTGAAAAAGAAAGAGAGAGAGAGAGAGAGAGAGAGAGAAAAAGGAATAATTTTTTAATGAAATTTTAGATATTTCTTTGATTGAAAAAATTTATTAAAGAATTATTATATTTCATTAAGTATATATAACACACGTTTAATATATATATATATATATATATATATATATATATATATTTATAATGTATATATTATATATATAAATATTATGCATTTACTAGCGTGGCAAATTTTTTATGATCCACTATTATATTTATGAATGAAATAAAGAGAGGGAGAGAGAAAAAAACGAGGTAAAGAATGAGATATAACAAATGAATACTATGAATTTGATGTAAGCATAATTCTCTGTATACGTTCTCATGAAAAAAATAATTATAAAAATAGTAAAAGAAAAAGTGTAAGAGACATAAATCGATGCAAAAAGAGGGAAACATTAACTGTTGATAGGTAGATATCTCATTCGACCATGGCCCTGGACTTTGATGATTCATATTTATACATCTTGGAAAGAAGGACTGAGTTCCGCAAAGTATATATAAATACCAGAAGAAATAAAACGTGCAGATATATTCTTGTAGTCTTTTAACGCGCTTTAATCCGTGTGGATGCATTCTATTCTTATTGTATCTTAATAATCTATAATATTTCAAAATGTTCGTCAAATCTTTCGTACTACTTCTTTTGGCTAATCTTACGATGGCTGAAATTCGTAAGTGTTTAAGTGTTTATGAATTTAATTAATAGGAATTAATTAATAGGAATTAAATGTTACCTTTTTTTTTTTTTTTTACTTAACAATAGTATTAATAAAATTCGTCGTATAAAATTTTATTTTTTGTTCTTTGTTTGTTTTTATTTTCTTTTTCGTGAGATTTTCATTTTTGTGTTTTTGAAGTAGGGAAAAAAGGATAATTTGTTGCTAGTTACTGTTCAATTTTTATCCATGTGCGATTATTATAATAATAATAATAATAATAATAATAATAATAATAATAATAATAATGATAATAATAAAAGGATTGATAGAAAACGGTGTTGAATTTACGATAAAATAAATCGTCGGAGGAGAAGTAAATGTATAAAAAAAAAAAAAAAAAAAAGAAAGGAAAAGAAATAAATAAATAAATAAAAATATAAATAAAAATAAAAAAGAGGAAAACAACACTGAGAGTTAGAGAATGTTTTATGCATTGAAATATCGAATGATCGAAATGAATAAGTTGAACTTAGTATTTGATTAATGTGATTACACTTTGAACGATTTAACGACATAGAAGCGTGATACAAAGTCGAGTTAGTAAAAAAGAAAAAAGGAAACAAGAGAGATAGAGAGGAATATAAAATAAAAAAGAAATATAATAATCCAAGGATAATGATTCGATAAATTACTATTTAACTATATGCGTATATATATATACATATATATTTTTTGTTTTTTTTTTCTGTTTTTCTTTTCTTGATTGCAAGAAGTAACTGATGAGAAATAATCAAAGTCATAAAAAAAGAAAATTATTTAAGCGTAACGAATCTAATAAAAATTCAAACGACTTCTTTTCCTTTCCTTTTTTTTTCTTTCTTTTATTTTATTTATTTTTTTATTTTTATTTTACTTCATATTTTATTTATTTAATTTTAATCTTATTTTAATTATTGTTTTATTTTATAGCCTCGTACATTAACATATGCGGTCGGAGGAATCCAAAATTGGACGAATGTATCATTAACAGCACCGAATTAATTCGAGATAAATTAATAACAGGAATACCAGAATTGGAAATCCCAAAAATATCTCCGTTAACTTTGAAAAAACTAATATTCACCGATGACCCAAATTTTCAGATAATAGCAGAAAACGTAAAGATCTATGGCGTCGATACTTTTCAAGTAATAAATTTGAAAACTGATTTAAAGAAACAACAAATCGATACAACTGTTATATATAAACAAATAAAGATCGAAACTGCTTACAATATAAATACGAAAATTTTAGTTCCCTTGGTTGGCAATGGACATATCAAGGCAGACACATGTAAAACAATTTTTATTATTCACGATAATAATCGATCATTTTTAAATATATCTCATCTAGAATAATTATTATTTCTAAACGATCTATTTAATTGCGTAATGATACATTACGTATTACGCGTTTGTCATTTTTTTGTTTTATCTTTCTTTTTATTACTTTTTCTTCTTCTTTTTTTCTTTGTTTTTTCTTTTTTCTTTCTTTTCTTTTTTTTCTTTTTTTTTTTTTTTTTTTTTTTTCATCGAATCTCAGATAGCATTTTACGATATATTTCGATATAGAGATCTTTTTTCCTTGAATATTTATTTATTTTGAATATTTATTGTTTATTTTACAGATAACGTGACGGCGAAAGTGTTGCTCCGTTATAAGCTGATAGAAAAGGATGGTAAAAAATATATGTACTTCTTTTCAATGACAACTAAACTCGACATCAAGGATGTCATTATAAATATAGAACCAGAGAATAACACCGATGACACCTTAAGGGAGATTATCAGGAATATCTTCAATACTAACAAAAATGATATGATCTCTATTATTTTGCCAAGCATAGAAAAGAGTATTTCGGAGAATGTACTCATGATTAGTAATAACATTGTTAAACATTTTCATTATGACGAAATTTTACCTGATCGGGAATAAATCTTCTTTTCTTTCTCTTTTTTCTTTTTTCTTTTTTTTTTTTTTTTTATTTTTTCTTTTCTTTTTTCTTTTTTCTTTTTTCTTTTTCTTTCGAACTTAATTACTCGGATAAGGATTTCATATATATATATATATATATATATATATATATATATATATATATATGGGTGTGTGTATACATATGAATATTTATTTATTTTTATTTATGTTAATTATTTTCTTAAATACTAAAAAGAATAAGATAATTGATAATTAAGAAATTTATATGAAATTTGCACGATGTTCCTTTACTTTTTTTTTTTTTTTTTCCTACCTGTGTACAATGATTTTACCTGTCTATCCTTAAATCCCGTTTAATTTTTCTTTTAAAGAAAAAAAAATAGGATAGGAAAAAAATGAATAAATAAGTTGAAAGATAAGTTCAAAAAAAAAAAAAAATGTTATTATTGTTTAAAAAAGAATCGAAAAAGGATAAAAAGAAAATGACTCGAGATGATAAAATATTTGTTCTGATGGAAGAACGACGAATTGTTAATGTTAGCACATACAGAAACGCAATAATGAGTTACATAAATAACGCAACATCATCATGATCTTGGTAATTATCGTGAAACAGTAGTTCATTCTTTCGTACGTCTTTCTTCGAAATAGGTCAATTTCTTGTCCGATCTTATGACAGCTTTAATAAGAAAAATCTCGAATAGAATAGTTATTATTATTGTTTTCTTTTTTTTTTTTTTTTTTTTTTTTTCTAAATTGTTTACCGAACATAATTACGTTTTTTTTTCTTACTCATTCAATCTTCACGAAATAATTATCTTGTAATATTATCGTAATTGGAGAGACGGAATTATCTTCCTATTTTTTAAACATGCTCCTTTCAAAAATAATATAATAAAAATTTTTTAATACAACAATTCCTTTATTCTTATAAATCATTGACTATTTGTAAAGCAAATACACCTGTTTATAATACCTATTGACCAGAGTATATATTATCTATTGTATATAGTCGCTAGACGTTAATGAAAATTGCTAGTTCGTTCTTTTTTTATTTTTTTTTATTTTTTATTTTCTTTTTTTTTGTTTTTCTTGTCTTTTCTTTCTTTTCTTTTTTTTTTTTCTTTCTTTCTTATTTCTTTCTCTTTGTTTCGAAAAATAAAATTAAGACTTTTAATACTTATATATATATATATATATATATTACATAGATATTATAAATGATCATTCGTTTCATTTAATATTCTCTTATCAATTTTAAAAAAACAAATTTTTTAACAATCTCTTAGTGATAATTAAAATCATTTATTTTTACAATTGTTGGTTTTCTTTTTTTTCTTTCCTTCTTTTTTTTCCCCCATTAATGTCATCGCCCTCAGTTTGAGTCATACGGGTCTCATGTGACATTTTAATACAAATCGATTGAAAAGTTACGTATACTAATAAAAGAAAAAAAAGGAAAGAAAAAGCTTTTTAAGAGATAATAGTTGTTGAATATAAATTAAAACTCATTTGAGAAGTTTACGATCGGAAGCATCAATAAAACGTCTATATTGTCGAAATGTTATCACATAACATCGAAGAACTTTTAACGAAACAAGATAATAAAATACATATATATATATATATATATATATATATATATTCTATAAAAATATATTATAATCCGTATTGTAAAGAGAATAGAAAAGGATGGAACGAATTATCGAGGTGAATCAATTTTATCGTATAATGTTTGGAATATTTTTAAGTATATTAAAAATTCAGAGGTAGTGTTTGAAATTTTTTTGACAATAACAATTGACGAATTGATTATAATCGATGTTTGATCATTGACATAATCGCTTTAGGAATCGTCATTCGTATCGTCAGATATTTGTTTCATTTTATTTTATATTCTTTTCCTTTCTTTGTTTTTTTGTTGTCTCTCCCTTTTTTCGTTCTCTTTTTTTTTCTTTTCTTTTCTTTTCTTTTCTTTTCTTTTCTTTTCTTTTCTTTTCCTCTTTCTTATCTTTTACATTTTCTTTCTTTTTCTTTCAATTTTATGGGAAGAGTTGCTCGTAAGTGAAATTACTGACAATACTATTAGCGATCTCACGAAAAGCGTCCGATAATGTTCTCTCTATCAATGGCTGTAATTCTTTAACGAATGCATCGAAATTGCTGTTGATAGCTGAATTAATAACATCACCGAGTACCTTTTCACCGCCAAAAAGATTCTCTAGATTTATATTACCCTTGCCAACTGTGATTTTCATTTTAAATTCCTCGATCTGCACATGATTCTTCCCGTTTGGTAATTGTATTTTCGTGGCACGTACATTGACCGATCCGGCACAGTGAGTGAAGTTTCCAGTCATTGGACCAGATCCTTCAATTGGCAAAAGTAATATTTTTCCATTGATCTCGTATGTACCTACAACGTGTAAGTGCGGCAGTTTGATATTCATTGCGAACTCCAAATTGTCGAAGTTTACCCTGTAATTTGGAGGAAAAAAAAAGATATTTATAAAATTTATAAATGAATTAATTAATTAAATTATTAATTAAAGAATTAATTAAATGTATAAGTGAAAGTAAATTATAAGTGTAACGTGTGCGTCGATTTTATAAGGAAAAAGAATTTTTTTTTTTTTTTTTTTTTTTTTTTTTTTTTTTTTTTTTTTTTTTTAGGTGATTATACTGAAAAATCAGTTGATTAAGGAAAAGAAAAAATGAAGAAAATTAATAATTAATAATTATTTATGAATCATTCACTCATTTCAAAATAAATTATCTTTTAAATAATCCTTTAAAATTATATCGGCCTGATTTTTCTTGGAAAATAAAAATCAATATTTAGAAAAATATCTATTTTTGAAAAGTAAAAGAAAAGAAATAATTTGATACAAGTGAGATTTAATAAATCCAGGAACTGGTTTTGTTATAAATCCTGAACAAGTATCGTTCAATGATTTCTTTCTTTTTTTTTCTTTTTTTTTTTTTTATGTTTAATAATGCTGCACGATAATTAAACAAGCACGAAAGAAAGTACAAAAATAAAAAAAGCGCCAATAAGAGAAAAGATTATTTTTCAGATTAAACATGACATAATTGAAGACAAGGCAAACACGAAAGTAAGAAAAAAAAAAAAAAAAAAAAAAAAAGAAAAAAAGAAAAAACGGAAAAAGAAAAGAAGAAAAAGTAGAAAATAAAAATAAATTTAAAAGGAAAAAAAGAATGAGAAAGAAGATGACAGTAGAATATTTTTCAGGTCAACCACATTGGTATACTTTCACTAATTCGTATTTCAAATGATCGTTTCCGTTATCTTTGCCATTTTATTAAACTATCAAGGATTATCCTCTTTGTTCTTTCTATTTCTCTATTTTTTTCTTTTTTTTTTCCTTTTTTTTCTATATATACATAAGATAACAATCATACCCATGTAGTAACATGACAATTGTTTTCGAATTCGCATTGCAAGCACTCGTGTCACGGCCGTATTCAATATCGTAATCGGAATATAAAGTAATCTTGCTCGCGAAGATCGAATGATCAATCAACGTAATTTTGTTCGTTTTATTTCTTTCTATCTTTTTGTTTTTCTTTCTTCTCTCTTTTTTTTTTTTTTTTTTTTTTTTTTTTTTATTTTTTCTTTTATAGGATATTAGTAATCATTCATGCGAAACTTAACGAATATCAAGGATCCTCTCTACAAATCGATTTAACTATTCAATCGTTTTTTAATATCTTTCTTTTCAAGAACACAAAATAGAAAAGTAAACAGTCTATTACTAATTTCTTTTTTTTTTTTTTTTTTTTTTTTCTTTTTTTTTTTTTTTGTTTGTTATTAGTTAACAATTTTAACTGATCGTGTGTTATTCAATGAATCTTGAAGATCTCGTGATAAATCCGATTAATCTTTTCTTTAATATTAAAAAAAAAAAAAATAATTAAATAAATAAATAAAAATAAAAATAGGAAAACAAAAATAAAAAACATAAGAAAAGAATTACATGAAGAAATGATCAATAATGACATATTCATAAAGCTTTAGATGATTTTGTAATCAATGAAGTTGAAAAAAAAAATAGTAATAATAATAATAATAATAATAATAATAATAATAATAATAATAATTTGGAGACCAACATCACTTATCAATTTTTAGAAAAATAAAACAATTTCATTGAGTAAAGACACATTAAGAATTGTTTTCTCACGATATCGTTACTTGAAAGTTTCGCACGTTAATAAAATAAATCACAAAGATGACTGTACATCTCGGGATAGTTATCGTTATTGATATTAATTGATCATCAAAAGTCACGTATCAATTTTCTCGCGGTATAATATAGTCGTATCATTTGTGGTTACAAGGATTACAAGAATGAAAGATATCGATAAATTTCATCCTCGTAGACCTTTACGACATAACGATGCTACAGTATTACATAGTTTTTCGAACTATAATTTCTTAGTTTTTTAATTCATGGTCATTCATTAAACTCCTTGACTCATAGTCATTCATAAAAATCTTCTTATTCTCATGATTTTTTTTAACAGATTTAATATAACCGGTTCAATATTACCAAATTTTATATGATCTTCGACCTTCACATTCTTTTATATCAAAAGGAAAGAAAATATTCATTTATCCTCGAATTATAATAATAAAAAAAAAAAAAAAAAAAAAATGCAATAATAATAAAAAAAAGTAAAAAAAAGTATCGAGAAGTTTTTTAAAACGTTTAGTAATAATCGGTCATTTTTATTATTCTTATCTCGAATGTTCGTCTATGTTAATTAAGATTTTACTGTGCAATTAAAAGAAGACGAAAAAAAAAAAACAAATAAGTAAGAAAAAAAAAAAGGATGAATAAATTATATTTGCTAGGGAGTAAGTAACAAATCAATATTCAATAACTAATGAGATTAATTGAAATACACGTTGCCATCCGGTTAAATAATTCATGACTAATTTTTCATTATCTTTTCTTTCTCTTTTTTTTTTTTTTTTTTTTTTTCTTTTTTTCTTTTCTTCTTCTAAAGCGTAACTCTTGGAATACGATATATAGAATCGATTAAAATTCGTATTAATTATCTGTTATTAGATATCGTAAAAATATTATATTATATCTGTATCATCATTAAATATTTAATTTTAATTATAATAACACAGCTTACTTCAGATCGGTTATGCTAAAATCACTGGCACCATAAGTTTCTACATTCTTCGCACTTATCCTTAAACCAGATTTTTCACTAACAATCAATTGTTTTAATAAAAGTGGCTCTAATGATGGTATATTGTATTCTGGTACACCTTTCTGAAGATAAGGCTTCAAAGATTCTACACTTTCGGTGATGCAATTAATGATGTTAGGATTGGCACGTTCACAAATGTGTAGAAAATCGGCTGAAGAGAAATAAAATTTAATAAAAATGATAAAATAATGTAAAAAATAATTTTTATATATTATTGGTTGGAAACTATGAAACGGGCGTTCTTATTCAGTTTTTTATTTTCATTCAACGCCCGTTTCATAGTTTCCAACCTAATATATATATATATATATATATATATATTTAAAAATTATAACGTTTCATTCATGATCGAATATTTCTACTAAAAAAAAAAAAAAAATAATAAAAAAGAAATAAAAAATAAACAAGGAAAAAAGAAAAAAGAAAAGTAGAAACTTAATGTCTTTTTGATTGAGAATTGAACTTGAGAATAAAAATTTTCGTGAAAAAGGATTAAATTAATAACTTTTCTCTCTCTCTTTCTCTCTCTCACTCTATCTCTATTTCTCTTTTTCCTTTCTTTCTTTCTTTTTTTTTTTTTTTTTTTTTTTTTCAAATTCTCTCCGATATTTTCATTTACTCACGTAAATCCATCGATTGGCCAAAATCGACGATCAAAAAAAGTAAGATCAGATTGACAAAGAATAAGACGTCACACTTCATGATTGTTTGCTTCTGTATGATCGAACTTAAATTTTGATAAGACGAGAAAGAAGATATGTATATATATATATATATATATATATATATATATATATAATTTTCTCAAAGAATATTTGAATCCAAATGGAATTTTATAGACGGAAACAATTCGCGAATAGATAAATGTTCGAATAGATGCTCGGACTGGAAGTGAATAAGAGTGAAGCCGTCGTGCGTGGATCTTATAGTGGTATTCTTCTTCTCCTCTGACCCCTCCAACCAACAGCTACCATCTCTGAGTTATTCAGAATTAGTCAGAGATACAATCACTGAAACAATTGTGATCCATGTGTTCCACCTACATATTCTATCACGCATACATAATATTCTATCACGCACAAACACACACATACACACATATATATACTCTTGTTTATATATATATATATACTTTTGTTTGGTATGTTCATGTGTATATATATATATATATACACACATATGTAAATATGGGTACGTGGGGAGAAAGGGGAGATGGGAAAAGAGGAGGAAAGAGAGACCAGAAATTTTTTTCTCGTTTCAAAGTCAAGGTAACTTATCGAGAAGAGGGTTAGGAAGTGGAAATGGAAAAAAAAGGAAACATAAGCTAATAATCATTACTGTCAAAGATTTCCTAATGTTTATTCTTCGAACGCTCAAAGTCGACATTGAACTTTTAAACTTTTCATTGTTAGATTGTATGCATTTTCTTTTCTTTGTTTGTTTGTTTTTTTTTTTTTTTTTTTTTTTTTCTTTTTTTTAACTTATTCTTCTTTTTCTCTCTCTCTCTCTCTCTCTCTCTCTCTCTCCTTCTTTTTCTTTTCTTTCTCTTAACATACACCTATTGACCTGTATAGGTGTGTGTGTGTATATATATATATATATATATATATACATATACATATGTGAATATGTACATACATAAATATATATGTATGTATATATGTATATATATGCAATCTATTGTAAATTTTCCTCGGATAAAATCGGAGTATTACGTGTTCGGAATTTTATAATTTTCTTTTCCCGAATATTACATTGTTCCAGAGACATTTCTGCATATGCACATATATTTCTTCTTGAAAATAACAGGAAGCAAAGAAGAATAATACCAAGGGATATATTGTATTTGTCGGAGATTAAAAAATGGAAAACATAGAAAAATGAAGAAGAATAAAAAGGAATAGAAGAGATGGAGAAAAAAGATCATAATTCAGTGGAAAAATTATGAAATAGTGCCGATCGATATTGAACGAATCGATCGATTGTATAATCCTTCTTCTCTCATAAGAATTATTTTAAGCATCGTTAGTATTAGTTAAAAGAAAAAAAATAATAAAAAAAAATAATAACGAGGAATATATATATATATATATATATATATATATATATATATATATATATATATATATATATATATATATATATATATATACACATTTTATATAAGGAATAAAAAAGAAAGAACAAGGAAAAAGAGAAATATAGCTTTTTATAAGAATGTATTCTACCTCATATATATATATATATATATATACATATATATATATATATATATATATATATATATATATACATTTATACTTAGTTAAATAGGAAGATAAAATGAGTATAAGTTCGTGGAGAATTATTATTTTTTTATTATTTATTTATTTATGCCATTTAACCGGTTTTTTATTACAAATTTTTGTTGTTCGCCATTTATGAGAATATTTTCCTGAAAAAGGAATGGATAAAAAAAAAATAAGGAAGAAAAGAAAAGAAATGTCAACGAGAATGACGTAAAATGATAACACCATTTATCACCGATTATTATTCGCGCATAGTCGGATAAATGCAATTGAACAATAAAAAAAGAAAACGAAAACGAAAAAAAAAAAAAGGAAGAAAAATAAATTAAGTTTTTTTATGCTTTTGAACGTTAGACGAGTTAACTATGTATTCACGATTATAATCATATGATGTCTCCTCGTCAACCTTTACCTCTTATATATATATAAAAGTATTATATATGTATGCATAAAGAATTTCATTAAAAATGCGTGAGAGGTTTGTTGATTATGTCGCATATACATAGAGACACATACATGTGTATTGTGTAAATATATTTTGTATAAATATATATTGTATAAATATATATATATATATATATATATGTATTCACATAAATACGCACACACGTATGTATATCTATAAAATGGTGTGCCTGTGTGTGTGTGTGTATGTGCATTTACGCGATGGAAATTCGACAGAAGTGATATTTAATATAACCACGAGGACGAAAAGAAAGAAAGGATAGGAATGATTTACAAGATTAAATAAATATATTTAATACGTAGAACATAAAATAGATTCGAATTACTAATATGTGTGTGTGTGTGTGTGTGTGTGTGTGTTACTTATAAATAAATGTTTCTTTAATACCGAATTAATAATGAATCGATTCTAAATATGTCGAATAAATAAATAAGTTAATATAATAAATGTGAATTAGGCTGTGTAATGTATATATATATATATATAATATATATATATATATATATATATATATATATAATATTTACAATGTTAATTTTATTTCAAGGATAAAAAAGAAGTAAATATTCTTTAAATTCTTGATAAGAAATAATATTCTCCAAGAACGTAAGAAGAACATTAAAGAGAAATAAAGAGAGAGAGAGAGAGAGAGAGAGAGAGAGAGAGAAAACTGAGAGAAAACTATATCGATATTCTTAAGAAAGTTTAAAACTTACAGAAAGTAAAAAAAATTACAAACTTTTTAAATCAATTTGAATTTTTCTCTTATCTCTCGTTAATGTACAAGAGGAATTTGAAATCTATAAATAATAACAATTGATTTTGTATATAATAACAAAAGTATATGTAATCATGAGTGAAGGAAATTAATTCCTTGATTTCAATCTGTCATTTCTCTGGTCAAAGAAGTCATCGAAGTTATCATAAATGTGACATAATAATGTCCTATTGCATAATGCATCGTCAACTTACGTACACATAAGCATATAAAAGGCAAGTAAAGCAAAACCGGTATTATCGTTCTCGAAGATCCTAAATTATCGCCGTAGATATCGTTATGATATCGTTTTACTTTTATTGTCTGTTCTTTAAAAAATATTAAAGGAAATATAATACAAAATTATGATATTATTTATAGATCAAATCAATTTATTTATTATATACCATCTATGATCTTTGACAATTTTCATCGAATGATAATAATTCCGAATAATAGACCAATTTTTCCATTCTACGTATATATATATATATATATATATATATATATATATATATATATATAATTTATATATACAATTTGATTAAAATTGCAATTCGATTGAATTTGCAATTTGATTGAATTTGCAATTTTAATGTAAGTAAACATTGCTATAGATATTTTGATCAATTTTATATCGATCGCTTCCAAACGTTCATCTTTGTCCAAAGTTATGAAGAATTTTTTTGAAACATTAGATTACAAATTCAGCTACGAAAACGAACTCATACGAGATTACCGATCTCCTGTTCTGTCAGAAAATTACATGTATACATATGCAATACATTATCTCGTAATCGCTTGTACGTTTTATAATGATAAGACATTATCAAACAATGAGTAGCTATCCAAGATGTGATGATATTAATTTCTTCTCTGTCACTCCGATTAAAATTAACGCCGATTAATATATATATATATATATATATATATATATATATATATATATATATATTTTATATCTATATATACTAGGCGGGCCGGAAAGTAATGTCGTTTCTGCGCATTTACTTGATTTTAAATTAAGATAGCGACATTAATTTCCGGTCCCTCTAATAGTTCGGTTATGTTTTTGGACAGATGATTCTATGGAAAAAATAAAAACATTCATGTCAAATGTCACAAAATGGTCATACGCCAGAAATTTAAAAAAATTTTAATATAAAATTCCGATACTTAAAAATTTGATCTCGCGGTTGTTGGCCTTGTATAATATAAACATAATCGGCCTTTCAAACAACTTTGACGATTGGCGAGTTAGTTTACTTTTGCACTCCGACTAGTTAACATCAATACTCTCTATTTCTAATCGGGAAAACTTATAAATTAATAATTTCGGTAATTTTTTAATTATTTAAACAATTCTTCATGTACACATAATACAATATAATAATATTCAAACAATAGTTCATTCGTTTAAACATTAAAAAGACGGGAACGCGTGAGAAACTGAAAATAATTTTAAAATAAAATTCCAATACTTAAAAATTTGATCTCACGGTTGTTGACCTTGTGTAATAGAAACATAAACGAACCTTCGACTAACTTTGACGATTCGCGAGTTAGTTTACTTTTGCACTTCGACCAGTTAACATCAATACTCTCTATTTCTAATCGGGAAAACTTATAACTAAATAATTTCGGTAATTTTTCGATTATTTAAACAATTCTTCATGTACACACAGTACAATATACTAATATTTAAACAATAGTTCATTCGTTTAAACATTACAATGACGGGAACGCGTGAGAAACTAAAAATAATTTTAAAATAAAATTCCAGTACTTAAAAATTTGATCTCGCGGTTGTTGGCCTTGTATAATATAAACATAATCGGCCTTTCAAACAACTTTGACGATTCGCGAGTTAGTTTACTTTTGCACTCCGACTAGTTAACATCAATACTCTCTATTTCTAATCGGGAAAACTTATAAATTAATAATTTCGATAATTTTTCAATTATTTAAACAATTCTTCATGTACACACAGTACAATATACTAATATTTAAACAATAGTTCATTCGTTTAAACATTACAATGACGGGAACGCGTGAGAAACTAAAAATAATTTTGAAATAAAATTCCAATACTTAAAAATTTGATCTCGCGGTTGTTGGACTTGTGTAATATAAACATAATCGCTCCTTCGATTAACTTTGACGATTCGCGAGTTAGTTTACTTTTGCACTCCGACCAGTTAACATCAATACTCTCTATTTCTAATCGGGAAAACTTATAAATTAATAATTTCGATAATTTTTCAATTATTTAAACAATTCTTCATGTACACACAGTACAGTATACTAATATTCAAACAATAGTTTATTCGTTTAAACATTAAAAAGACGGGAACGCGTGAGAAACTGAAAATAATTTTAAAAT